TGATGAAAAAACAATATGTTTTAAAGGAAAATATAATGTGTGTTTTGTAAATATTAAGATAGTTCCGTATCAAACTTAATGATTTCCAAAGCACACGAATTTCTACACAATTTCTTATAGCCTTTTATAGCCAATTGCAATAAAGTGTAAAGCCCGGCGATAGGAACTATAGCCCGACTGTATACTTTTTTATAGCTTCGTATAGCCCGGCCGTATGATTTGCTCCGCTTTCTACAGCCAGCTATATGATTTTTAATAGCCTTCTTTAGTCGGTTATAAGAACTTCTATGGTATTTTGAAACGCAGCTCGTATCGCCAACTTTTACCAGGGTGGTCATGTGCAACGGATGCCAGATGATAGGTTGCCTAAGAAGGTTCTAGATTGGGTCCCCCCTGGCAGAAAGCGCAGAAGACGCCCTGCCAAATCGTGAATTGAGGGAATAAGGCAGGAAATGAGGAGATGCGATCAGCCGGAGGAGTTCTGGCAGGATCGCTATCAGTGGCGGTTGGGTGTCGCAGAGCGCACAGAAGTGCTTTAAGAGCGACTTGTTAGTTACTAAAAAAAACAGTTGTTTGTTGTTGTTAGTTGTTTCTCTGTTAGTTAGTTAATATATTATCTCTGTATTCATTCTTACTGAAGTGGCGGTCTTTTCTCAATGTTTTTCCGTATGCTTCGTTGGTACAGTGAGTCTGACATTTTGGCGTTACGTCGTATATTGGGCAGGTTTTGTAAGGGCAGTGCCTGTTGTAACTGCGTTTGCACGGAGATGGGATGTTGTACGGTTGGCAGCCTTCCGTTGTGTTCCACCTACCACCGGTCGGTAAACCGTGCTTGTTGAAGTAGCCCCAAGCCAAATGCTCCCACCTGTGATGCATAAATACAATATTTACTTTAGTTTCACGTGAAATCAAATGCAGTGGCGTGGCGTGAATTGCGATTTATCGATTGTTCTGCCATTTGAAGCTATGGTAAAGAATCGATTATTAAGGTGTTCGCTGCAAACACCCTGTTTATCGATCCTTTTCCATAGGTTTAAATGGCATAACAATCGATACATCGCAAAGCACGCCACGCCACTGATCAAATGAATCCAACTCGAAATTTTCAGCCATACATGTATTGGAAAAACAAACGGCGAAAAAACAGTTTTCATCTGGTATCGGGTTTTTCTTTCGTTTTTCTCAGCTATGTGGGAGGCGATATCATGTGCACAAACGCATAAGATTTATCTCAACGTCATATGGACTACATTTTCCAATTAAGAACTATAAATTGCGGCCCGTTTTAAAAACAACTTATGTGCCATCAGTTTTCCTATGCACATAAGCGTTTTTTCAGACGAGTTAGAATTTATAGCTCGAAATTGCAAAATGCAGTCTATTTATGAGTCGCCCAGAAATTCCGGTACACTTGAAGGGTTGGTGAGAATCCAAGCCCGCGTGATGGGGTGGAGGAGGGGAATGACATTGCGTGACCCCACCCAATAACTGTGGGAAGAGACGATTATTCAAAGATACATTTCTGGTAATATCGACCAAAAATATAGATTTTTCATGCCGCATGGAGTGGAGGGGTATCTAGCAAAGGGGTAAAATCTCATGGAGTTTCAATGAAAGGAAAACAAAAGCAATTTAAGCCATAGTTGAATGAAGAAGTAATTTTGTCATTTCGAGTAAAGTACATAATCTTAAAAATTGCTGCAGGACACATGGTTTGGCTCATGAAAAGTCTGAACCAATGTTTGTAGTGCTGAATTAAGAGTTTTTCAGATAATTGTAAAATTAGCTTTGGGTTATCTTGCCAAAAAGCACCAATTTTTCAATTTTTTTTTTTAATAAAACTGTACTTTTTTTCTTTCATTTACTTGTAGTCTCAATTGGAAGGACGCTCTTCTTACATCCATCTGTTATTCTTCGATAACTAGTTTACAGTTTCTAAGATATCTTGTATTTTACTGAGAGCCATTGCAGGATGGAAAACCCTTGCTCAGAATGGTTCTGGTTCATGCTCGTAAAATCTTTACCAGAGATGGGGCGTGAATGATCGATTATCGATTATCCGTCCAATTGAAGCCCAGGTAAAGAATCGATCATGAAGGTGTTGGTTGCGAACACGTTTATCGATCTTTTTCCGTAGGTTTAAATGACAGATCAATCGATATATATCGTATTGATCCTTACCCTCCGTCGCATCCATCACCACAGTCACGGCAGCAGGAGAGAACATTTGCTGCTGATAGCCGCATTTGATGCTTGCCATTGGTGGCGATACAGTATCTGTCGGTAAAAGAGCCAGCCGCAGAGATGGCCTGAAATTGTAACAAAAGATGTATTTTTCAGTCCTGACTAACATTTTTATAGTAGCGTGAAGCGCTTTGCGATATATCGATTGATCTACCATTTAAACCTATGGAAAAGGATCGAGAAACCGGGTGTTCCCAACAAACACCTTAATAATCGATCTTTTACCATAGCTTCAAATGGAAAAATATCGATAATCGATCATTCACGCCTCATCCTTGATGATTTTTGCATTTAACCAATTTGCGGTGTAGTTCGTTGAATGATTAAAATTCTATAAAAAATTTAGAAGTTGAACTTTTTTTTGAGATCAATCACGGGAAATGGATCGACCTAAATCCGCAAAACCGTAATATTTAGTTATTGATACCAAAGTTTATAAGCGTGCATTCTGCAAACATAAGCGTCCATGGAGCCTCGAAAATGTTCAATCAAACCGTAACTGAGCCGGATTGAAGTTCGCAGCTCAAAGAACATATAGTCTCGAGAACGCGCTATTTAAATGTATACCTTTCGATTTTTGCTCAGAGCTCAGAGTTACCGTATCAATGGGCGACTAAACAAGGTCTGAACTAGAAGGAAGCGTAACCTCTTCAAAGTCATACTTAAAACACTGTTTACACGCCGGGAATTCCGGGAACAAAAAATCATGAACGAGATATCAAGGAGTATATTTTCAACAAACATCAAATGGAAGTTGGGCCATACAATTGACGTCATTTATATTTTTGCCATTTAACTAGTGTTAATTGTTAAGACTCATATCTTGTTTTTTTTTCCTCATATCTTTAGGGTTCAATTTTCAGACTTCCCATTGTGCGATTTGTTTTCCTCATGACATTTTCGAGAGAAATCAGTTTACGTGGTTCGTTAATTCATACCTTACCTATTGCCCCATTCCACATGTGTGCGCCCTCCGTCATTGATTCGATAATGAATTTAACCCAACACTTTTTGGATAACTTCAATGTCTAAATTCTTTTGATACTAAAAAGCAATTTTTGTCGAAATGTTTAAATTCAACTTTTCAGTCTAGCCCTTTACTGAAAATGTAACATCCGTGGACTAGAGTTAAACTACCTTGAACCGTCGCATGCATGTGCAATGAAAGAATAATTTCTATTTTATATTACCCAACAAGAGCCGCAGCGTCCTTGGTCCACCACTTCTCCGATTCTGGGGCACATTTTACGCCATTTTTGACGGGCGTCGAAGTTTTTGGGTATTTGATCTCGTCCCGGCCATTTTGGATCGAATGTCTTGACAAGCCGCAATTCCTTCTTTCGACCCTCCATGAACGTCCCAGTCAGCAGTCCCAGCTCGACTAACGACACATCTTCACCAAAATTTCTTCCAGCCTGAAAATTTCAGAATCATCCTACGTCTAACTGGGGACAAAGTTACTCCCCAAT